GGAAGAATTCATCTTCTATGCCATGCACATGAATAAAATCTTAAATTCTGTAGAAAAGGTTTGCAGAATTAGTTCTAGGTTGCTGAGGTATATTATGACACTTGTGAAATAACCAGGATTACAACACGTTTAGAAAGAATCAGGTAACTACAACTAAATCACACAAAAACTTAGAAATCAGCAACTCTACAGTTTGAGAAAAGTAAAATGAACATAAGATGACTGAAAAAACTTGGGTGCACAATATTTAAAGAACATATGTTAACCTCGATATTCCAACAAATTACTTTTTAGCATACATATTTTAACAATAAAGTCACAATAAACATCTCTACAGCTCAAGCTTGTAACCTTTGCTATACTTCTAAAACTGTTAATATTGCCAGTGCTTTTTTTCCTCTAGACTATTTCTACCCCTAAAACTAGTGCCTGAGGGAAGAGTGGCTAGCTTATAGCTTGCTTATTCATCAATGAACAAAAACCTAGCATACTCTGTCTACAAAGAATAAAATGCCCTTGGAAAACAGAGGCAGAAGTCTGTAAATCAAGAAGACAGGAAAGTTATTTAGCCTGTGGCTCAGGCCAGTAGTGTGAAAGATCATAGTGAATCTAGACTGAATCTAAACACATCTGTTCATCTGATTATGCCATATTCTACTGCCTAACAGAAAAGGAAGAATAGGAAGAATGAAACAGAATTTGACGTAATTCACTTGCCAGATGAGGAGACAGTCATAGAGAAGTTCAATAATTTGCCCCATATAACAAAATCTAGTTAGCATAGAACTGGCCTAAAATATTACTTATTATTTCCTAAACTCGTCAGCAGTCTTGCCACTTTGCATACTTCGTTTTCGTTGTTTGTTTTTTTCTGAGACACAGTCTCATTCTGTCACACGGGCTGGAGTGCAGTGGCGCAACCTCAACTCACTACCATCTCTGCCTCCCGGTTCAAGCAATTCTCCTGCCTCAGCCTCCTAAGTAGCTGGGATTACGTACACAGACCACCATGCCCGGCTTTTTTTTTTTTTTTTTT